TTCATTGATATATCAGTACTTGTTTGTGAAGTGTTTGTGCAGTGCAGCCATGTCTCTCTGCGTTTGCGTTTGTGTAGCCGTTGAGTCCTTCTGTAAAAAAAGACCGAGCTTTCGTTCTCCATGCCCCTGGCCCTCAAGTGTTTTGGCCATTTGTATTTGTTGGGGTTTCCATCTCTGACAAGCCCTCGCTGAGCTCTGTGTTTATTCGCCACGTGGATCTGCATAGAATGGACTAGAGCCTTTGTGATGTGGTTTGAAACTGGTGTAAAAAGGTTCGCAGGACCCAACATTTCAGAATAGACATGCTGATGCAACGCTCGAACCTGAAAGCCCGGACCAAGCCTAGGCATCCAGATGGGCTTCCAAGCCCACTGGTGGCTTCTCGTCACTGTTCCTGTGGCTCCAATAGATCTTTTCATACCTTTTCCTTAGGACGTTGGTCAGAGGAGGGGATGTCTTACAAATTGCAAAACCCAGCTTGTTCCTGAGCCACGAAGGTGCTCAATTTTTCGTTGGGTCTAGGGCTAAGGTCTACGGCCTGAAGTCGCTTGCGGCCACCTCTGCTTGCACGACCGAGAGCTGTGAGGAGGACCCTTTTGAAGTAGACTGCGGCCCGGATCAGGCTTACTATGGCGAATTAGGTGTAGTGCTGTTGGCAACGATGAGCGGGCCTTGCACAACCTTCAAAGTTTTCTGCTAGAGCCGTATGTAGTCAGGGCCCCAGCTCACGAAGATGTTCACAGCTCGCAGAGTTCACGGTTCACACGACAGGAGTCAGCATCTTGGGACTCATATTTTGCAGCCTATATAGCTTGCGAGGGTTTGAAGCGAGGCTTCAAGGCTACTCGTTTATGAGAGGCTGATACTGGAACTCCACTAAACACTAAGCCTTTAACCCGGAGGCCTGGCCCTTCGCTCCTTGCAAAGCTCCAGACCATGTCTTTGAAGCAGTCGCCTCCTATGCCGCTTTCAGGATGACGCAGCTCTTGTCCAAACTGCGAAGCTTCGCATAGGTGACGGGCACCAGGGCATCTACAGAGCAACCATGCTCAATCACTGCCTAGAACGGCCTAAGGCTTTGAGGGCTGACCAGGGTCTGGAAGTTGAGGTCCGGAGTTTCAGGGTTCACTGGAATTGGGGCTGCTGGGGCTGGGGAGTCGGCGCTTAGATAGGGTTTGGGAACTTCAACCGCGGCGCTGCACCTTTTTGATTGTCGTCGGGTGCAGCTCGAAGACCAAGGACCCGAACAAGTGTAACATCTTCACGCTTTGGGAGAAGGACGAGGAAGGCAAGGACGTGGCACTAATGCCGAGAACCTCGGTTGCAGTCCCGGGTAGTGATAAGTGTTTTGGCCTAAGATTCGGTGTCATAAAAGCAGCCTGGGTTAGGATGTCGGCTTCATGTTATGCTCCTTTCGGTCAAAGGGCGAAGATTGAGAGAACGAGCTCGATTATTGTATTGGGCAGATGGCACAAAGGCACGCCAAGCTAGGGGTTGCGCGAGCCCGAGAAGCCAAGAAGATGCGTGCAGCTTTCTTTTTTGTCGATCTGATGTTTGTGAAGGTGGCTGAGCCCCACAAACTGACGACAGTCATGGCGTGTCATGACGCTAGTCCGTTGTCACGGACGTATCTTGTGCCTTTGGGAATGCCGAGCCTTCGCTCGTATGCACGGGAATGTTTCTTTTTCTTTCTTTCTTTCTCTCTCTCTCTCTCTCTCTCCATCTCTCTCTCTCTCTCTCTCTCTCTATCTCCATACTCTCTTCTCCATTGAGTCAGCCTGCCCGTAACGAATTCCGGCCAGCATGCCTCAAACCACAGAATCAGCATATGTCACTGTACAAGCTACGGCTAAATGGCTGGCAGCCACAGAAAAGAGAGAGAGAGAGAGAGTTTGCACTTTTTACAAGTACCGGTATGTACCGAGAGTAGGTACAGGCATCATTGGTCGACAGACCTAAGACCTTTACAGCAGAAGTAACTTACATTGGCCCAGGATTGATCATTGAGACTTGGAGGAGGCATACCAGAGGCCTCTGCAACGACCCGGTCCTCGTTTCGGATGAGAACGTCCTTCGGCGCTCGAAATCGCTAGTGGTTAAGATTGTGGGATCTTTGTTGGAGGTCTTTCAAGAAATGTGGTGATTTCAGCAACATCCCATTAGATCAAAGTTTCGTGGCCCTGGCGTGTTGTGTACATTTAGGTCTGTGTGCTGTCGCAGCTTTACCTGCCGAATTGCAAAGATCCCGGGGAACAGAGTTTGAGTTTGTGTCAGTGATGCTGTCCTCTCTGCGCTCTACGAAGGAGTCATCGACAATCTTCGGCTGTTAGTTGTGGTATCTGTTTTCTGGACCTGGAGAATTTGCAGGTGAGGGAGCTCGTTCCAGATCTTCCAGAAGAGTACTTCCGTTTGCCGTACTCTGCTGCGAAGTCCGACTTCCTTCGCTATGGAATGCTGTATCACCATGGAGGCACCGGTTCGGGGTAGGCCTTCTCTACTTTGGTTTCCGTGTGAACTACGCCAAGCTTTGCTTGAGTTTCGTTCTAGTCGCGGGCATGCGTATTTCACATGTAAAGCACCGCGAAGGAATCTTCATTGATTTCGACATGGTGGCCATGGACGACATGGACGACATCGTTGGGATGACACGTACGTTGGACTTGCTCTCCTATAGCCCTCACGACGAGAAGTGCACCATGGAATTGCTGAAAGGATGTACACGTTCACGGGTCGTTCGTCAGTGTTAGCTAAACTGGCAAAACTAAGGCAACGACTTCTCCTCGAACTTCCTAGGGGGTCGCCGGGGCAGCCCCTTCTTCAAGAAAGTCTGGGAGGAGCAAAAGTCAGCCCTCACGAAGCATTGCGAGGCGAAAGACAGGAGGCGGCAAAAGGTTTGCTGCTTTGAGGACAGGGGTTTTGTCCAACAACACGATGCCGCGGCGACCGTGATTTCGTGGCTTCGAGAACAAGAGGCAGTCAGGCCGCCTCTAAATTTGGCCGCAAGCACTAATCTTCACCAGCCCATGTCAAGCAGACCCCTGCAACAAGCCGAAACCAAAAACTATGCCCCACACATGCCGAACACCCGAAGACCCGAAACCGTGCACCCTGAAACCACATGCTTTCAGGACCCGAAACTGCAGTGCCACATTCCTTGGGGCGGACTGGGCGAGCGACTCTCTCACAAGGTCTCAGGGTGCTGTTCTCATGGCAAGTTGTCCAGCAGAATTGTGCCTCGGGGTTGCAGTTGCGTTTCGCCGTTCTGGGTTCTGCTGCTCCGTTTCCTGGCGGAAACCTTTGACGAAAAAACCCAAAGTCCCCGAGCCAGTCTCAGTCCGATCGAGCCGCGCAATGTGGGTGCTTTTTCAAGATTATGGGCTTCGGGTCCTGATGATGAGGATGCTATTGTCTAGGATTTATAGAGCTTTTTCAGCCTCCACCCCACGGCCTGGGCAGCATCACCAGGCTGGAAGCCCGTGCTCCGGGTAGACAACTGGGTCATTCTATGTTCGCCGTTATTGGATCTAAGGGGATCTTATATTGTTTAACAAACATGTATCGCGTCCTAATTCTGCGCCAAACACGATCGAAAGCCTGGCCGGGGTGCCAAACCTCGAGACTGGGAAGAGCGCGCGTCGAGAGTGCCAGTCACTGGGACGTACCGTAAAGAAAGGGATTGTAGTTTTACAGGTTCATCGGCTAACCTTTTTTTGGTCAGGGAATTTAACAACTGAGGTAACCCGGGCGCTTAAAGGCTTGAATGCTTATGGCGATTTGGCTTCTTATTGCCGGGGCCTCTGAACATCCGGCTTGTGGGGTTCACAAAGTGTTCTCGGTAATACGTCGGATCCATGTACGACTTCGAAGTCGCCGCTTCGCATGACCCAGACGCCATTCCCAAGGAAAGCGTTGTTCAGCAGCCTTTTGGTTTCGGACGGCGTACCGCACAAATGTTCGGAACAAGC